AACAGGATATGAGGATTTAATCTTTTTAATAGAACCAAGCTGCTAGTCCTCAAGTCAAGCTCACTGGGACTGGCATGAAACTTCCAAAGAAGTCAGTCTGGGCAAAGGATAGTCCGGCTCTCGTGCCCAGCCCTTCCCTCCCTCCGGGGCCCTTCCTCAATCACCTTTGGGGCTGCCAAACCACACCTGCCATGCGGGGAACGCCTCTGCCCTCCAGGTTCGAGTGTGGCAGGCCAGTGCCAGCCTCACGCCAGGCGCTCCGAGGCAGCACATCTTTCAGCACTGCTTGCCTTCCTCGGCCTTCGGCTCTCGCAGGTGCCAGGTAAACAGGCGGAGTGGAGGAGCTGTGCCCAGGCAGGTTGGCACAAGCCGAGGAAGGGCTGGAGGGCTCGGAGGGGGTCTCTATGCCAACTGGATCAGGGAGGGAAACAGGGAGGGCGGCCGATGCATCTATCCTGAATGCCAGGGGCCTTTCAGTGGGTGCCAGCCGCCCGAGACCCAGCTGGCACCTTGGCTGGGGCGTCGGAAAGAGCCCAGGTGGGGGGGGGCGCGCCAGGGCTACCCAGGAGGGCAAAATTCCAGATGTGCTATTTTGAGAGTTTTGCTGCAGATCCCTAACGTTGACTTTCCAGGCAGAGGGGAGAAAGTTTTCACCCTCGAAGCTGAGCTGCTGGCGGGGGGGGGGGTCTGATATAAATCAGAGAGGGGGAGAGTGTGAGCCCCCCCACTCAGTTTCTTGTGGGGTCCTCTCCAGCCTCGGGATGACCCCCAGAAGCTCCTCAAAATGCTTTTTCCAATCTGCGTGCTATGCAACGTAGAGCTATTTTTATTCTATTTTATTTAGAAGGTTTATATGCCGCCCCCCCCCCACTCTCACTGACCCTGGGTGGCTTACGGGCAATTAAAAAAAAACAACATAAAAGAATAAAGGACAGTAAGCCCACCACCACCACTGCAACACAACACATCACAATGCAACACAACACAACAGCAACGAACTGCAAAGCAATGCAAATTGTGTGGGGGAAGGTAAACTAAATCCCATAACGTTGATGGGTCCTTCGCACCCTTTCCCTGTCTTTGGGGAGTGGTCCCACCCCACCCCCACCCCTCAGAGGCAAAAGGGGGCCCTCTCTGCAGTTCCAGGCCAGGGGGTGTCCCAGGAGCAGCAACCGGGACCCTGGCCCAGTGCAAAGAGCGAGGGCTGCCCTTAAAGGTTTGGGGAGCAAAGCTGGCTGAGGAACTCTGGGAGTTGAAGTCCACAAGTCTTAAAGTTGCCAAGATTGGAGACCACTGATATACAGTTTAGTTCAGTTCCTCCCTTCCCTTCCTTTCTTCCTCCCTCCCCCCCTGCCCCCTCCCTTCCTTCCCAAGGGAATGGGGGACCCTTGAACTCTTCCACCCTCCTCCTCCTCTTTTCCCTCCTTCTACCTTTCATCCAACCTCCTCCAGAGAGACACGAATTCACAACACGTGTCGGAAAGTGAATAATCTGAGCCTGGACGTTTGTGCCTGG